AAATAATGGTGTATAAAGCAGTTAGAGCTTTTAATTATGATGGCTTTGTATTTCAGATATCTACCACAAGTTTAACCAGAAGAGATTAATTTGTTTTCATTTGCTGGAGAAGGAACAGAGCTACTTTAGGTTCTAATTTTCAGCGTAAATTAGCTTCAAATGGTACAAAGTTAGTATCAAGGCTCCAAAAAGACAAAAACTGTTTTTTTTTATGCAAGCCTTGATTTTATATATAACTGCATGATGGGGAAAGGAATTGAGACAAGAAGAAGCCTTGCATTTCAGGGACCTAAAGCCCTGCCTTTGTATTTAATTAGGCCACTGCTGATCAGTCCAATTACACCATTTAGGACAGTAGATAGATGATGAAGATGAAAAGATCCTTAGTTTTACCATTTGGTCCCCATAGTGCTAAATGTTTCCTGCAGCTGTTGTTGATGAATATGATTTATTCACACATCTAGCCTGCTCCATTCTCTGAGTCTTAGTGTAATTCAAAACATTGAGTACTTCATCCATCATTTTTATAGCACTGTATTCAATAAGAGTAAATGGAACAGACTAGTAAGTTGATTGCTTATTCTTTAGCCAAACCTCTAACAATCAGTTTCACAGCATTCAGAAAAAGGCGCCATTATTTCTTACAAATAAAAATCGGTCAACCTACTTATTTTCAAGTATTTTTTTTTAAGGAATTTAGATTGGAAAGCCTCACACTGATTTCCCAGGCATGTTTTATCCACTCTATTTGAAGTTCTTATATTTCTCATACCCCATTTGGTAACAGATAAATGATACATAAACTCACTACTATTAAAACAAAAAAATTGAAAATATTCCAGGAGAAAATAAAACACAATGATAAAAGTGCATAAATTTTGTAAAGTGAAAGAAAAAAGGGAAACAAATGCTAGATTACATAGACTTTAATTTGCTCAAGCTGGTCTTTTCTTAAGGAAAATAGGATCTCAGAATAGACCTCAATTAACAATCACAGCCAAGAAACAAGAACAAAACCACAAATATAATATAAATCTTATACTTATTCTGTCTTTGAGTCAGATCTTTAGAAAAACAGTTTCCAAAATAAGCATGGGCACACACAGTATACATGTGCATCAAGAACTAGTAGCTTCTTCAATATACAAGAGTAGAATCTATTAAATGTTCATATTTCTAAAAATCAGACTTGTCCCTGTGAAGTTTTAATAATTTATCGACATCTGTATATGTGTAGACAATTCCATTAAAAAGAAAAAGATTTCTTCACCCACTCTCTTGACATACATAAACCAAATAATACAATTCATATAGTGACTTTCTGTGCAAGAACAGATCCAATGCAGAATTAAAATTTAATTGAAGATATTAAAGTCACTCAAGCCAATAAATGTGTTAATAATTAAAAATCACAGACCATTTGAGAAATAGGCACTGGAAATGATCTTTTAGTACAAAGTGTTTCCAGTACAATTTTAAAAAGAATTGCCTTGGAACGGTTGCTTCCCCCCCTCCCCCACCAAATCTTCTAAAAATGGTTTGATTTGTTGAATATATACCATATACACATTTATTAATGGAAATTGTTTTTAAAAAAATGATAATCCCAAAATAAATTCTGCAATGTCTCTTGTGAAATACAAGCATTAGAATTAGGCATATGTTATTACTTTAATGCAGTCAGTTTTCCACTAATCTCTCAGTACTAAATGGAGAAAATCTCCACTTTATGAGATGATATATTTATTAAAGTAAGGAATTCAAATTTTATATAAAAGTGTGTAAAATAATCAGTATTTTTTTTACCACTGCTAATTTACTACCCTTTTGGATATGCTACATCATATCCATCCTAGTTATCCTCATCAGCAAAGGAAACTATCCAAATGCTTCACTACTAAAGTAATAACTAACATTCCTCAAGAGGAGTTGTGGGAACATTATTCAGATGAACACAAATACAGTGCAGCAACCCTGAAAGTCAGAAAAAGAAAACTGATCACTTATACTATTCTAACAAAATAGATATCCCTGCAACTTTATCAATAAGTGCCTGACCACTCAACTCAACTCACTATAGAACAATGAACACAAGCCACCACCATACATCATAAATATATAGACAGAGTCTTGAGACCAGATGACTTCACCTTAGCATGCCAGCTAATTAAAGCCCTACAAAATATCTTATGTAAATCAAAAGACCCAGTAACCCAAGAAGAAACAATAAGAATTATCTACAATATTTAGTACAAGAACTGCAATGGCCACTATGTAGGCCATACAGAAGACTAGCAGAGTGCTTCCATGAACAGCTACTAGCAATCAGAAGACACCATGAAATCATCTTAATTTCACAACACATGGACAGACTCAATCATAGTTTCAACTGGGAAACTGTGAGTATCCTAGACCAAACTAAATCAAAAACATCAAGGAATTCCTGGAAGCCTGACTCTCAACTCTCAATAGAGATGTAGAGATAAACTGCATTTACATATCATGCAAAAGAAACAATATAAAAACTGAGAAGGAAATGAAAAGACTAGAACACCTCCTCTCCAGTAGCCAACACCCAAATAAGTAGAAATAAAACTAGACAAAAAGAGGAGACAAATAGTACTGGAGACAGATAAGGAGACAAATAAATAAGAAGACACTCAAGAAGAAAACCAGGATCTACCAAGGAGAAAGCCACACCCATTAGATATTTACTTCATTTGTGTCTAGGTTTTTTAGTCTGATGTAGAAATCAACATGTAATACAAGGGTTACATGAACAAATGCTAGTTCAGTGCTTCTATCACAAGAAATAATGTTTCCTTTTTATTATGCATTGGTGAAAATCTGTATTAAGTACTGTGCTGATTTGTAGGTATCACAATTGAAGGATTCTGAGAAATTAGAATAGATTGAGTGTTGGAAAATGCAGATGATCAGAGAATTAAAAACTCAGTTTCTATTAAGGGAGATCAAAGGGGTTTCACCATGACAGAAATTAAGGAAAATAGTTTGATCTAATCATTTAGGCAAAAGGCTAAAAATCAGGGAGTGATGAGTTTTAGTCCTACCTTAGGCATGAAAGCTATTGGTTCTCTTCCCTAGATGGGTTGAAGCAAACTCTAACTGTCTCTCTGCAAAGATTTACCTAGGATTTTTGTTCTGGGTAAGTATTGAACTCTATGATTAAGGAGATCCCTTCATCTGGATGATAACCTCTGCATTTCTTAATCTGATTAATGTGAAATTTCAACTAATAAAGCCAAGGATATGATACATAAATAATCAGTTTTCAAACTTTGTTTCTTTATAATTATTTATTATTGATTCATTTAGAAAACATTTTGACCACATTTAAAATAAAATTAAATGCATTTAAACATAAAATTAATAGATTTCAGTGTAATTTAAGTTCAAGCTATTGCTCCCAGATTAAATTTTATTTAAAGTGCTGCTTTGTCTGAAAGTTGTTTTTAGTAATCATTTCCAAAAATGGCCTTTTTCTCAAAAATCAAATTAAACGTTATTTTACAAAAAAATTATTGGGGAAATAATTTATATTTTTCTGGGTTTAGTTCATTAAGTGCAAGTATCCATATGAAGAAAACAATAAACTGAATAGAAAAGACAAGACCCATTAAAAATTGGTATATAGAACAAAGGAGATGGAGATCCAATTATATTAGCATCATGAGCAAACACTCATTGGGTGGCTGTGAACATCTATTTCTGAATTTTGGTTTTCTCTATGTAAAACTGGAGTAGTAGTAAAAAATCAAGGGTTAATTATTGCAAAGTTTTTGAATAAGAAAGTTCAGTACTAGAAGGGGTGACTTTGGTGGTGTAGTGGTTAGAGTGCAGTACTGCAGACCACTTCTGCTGATTGCCGGCTGACTGCAATTTGGCAGTTTGAATTTCACAGTGTCAAGTTTGACTCAGCCTTCCATCCTTCCGAGGTGGATATAATGAGGACCCAGATTGCTGGGGCAAGAACGTGATGCTGTAAACTGTTTAGAAAGGACTGTAAAGCACTATGAAGTGGTATATAAGTCTAAGTGCTATCGCTATTTCCAAACCAACTTAAGCCCAAATAGTCTCAATATAAATTCTTTTTTATAACATTTTTGCCATAAGTGGAACTGTGAATCAAGAAGAAAGATGGTTCATATAGAAAAAAATGATCCTGGCCCAGTGACCCCTTTTCTGTAGCAGCTGACCACTGATACCTAACAGGGATATTTTTAGAGTGAAGCGTATAGTGTTCAAGAACTACACCATACATCTTCATGCTTCCTATGTGGATTCTTCAAGGTGAACAGTAAGGGCAGATACATTGTTGTCCTGTTTAATACCTCCATAATATCATTGGTCTTTTTCCAAGTTTTTTATGCTTCAAATATCCATTTCTTTCTCACCATTATTACAAGGTTGATAGAAATACAGAATCTTCAAAATCCGTGTTTGATTAGAAATTTCTTAAGTCAGTCAAGGATTGTTAGGATACTATGCTAATGCTTCGAAGAAAGACTATTTGTTAACTAGATAGAAGTTGTGAGGTTTTTTTGGTCAATGTAAAGAGTTCTTCATTTAAGTTTATTTGAAGTTAATATTGGTGATGTGGAGAAACTGGAAGAGGCGCAAAACACTCAATATCCATGTTTCCGGTTTGAATTGGACTAGTCAGTTGCCTTCATACAGAGGAGTATGCAGCTTGTGTGCAGTTTGAAAGATGGACAGAATAAAATTAAATAAACAGTCTTCAGAAGTGTAACTTTCTAATAAATTGCCTAGGATCGAAGCTCAGCCAATTCATAATATTTGATCAGGTCATCAAACTGGACAAAGAAACATGGAAGAACTGACTAACTAGGTTTTTGGGTATTCTGCCACCAAGTCTGCAATAGCATAATTTGATCATTATATGATTCAATCCACTTCATATTTCTGAACGCTTTTTCAATATTTTCAATAGGATAAATAAAAGAATTATATTTTCCCAGGTCTGGGATGATAATCTAGCTAAATCTGCGGAAGCTTGGGCAGCTACCTGCATTTGGGACCATGGGCCTTCTTACTTGTTGAGATTTCTGGGACAAAATTTATCTGTACGGACTGGAAGGTAATTAAATTTCATATATATTTGTTTCAAGTCACTAATCTTCAAGCATCTTTTATTCTGCAAATGTATGAGAATGATGTAATTTACAAAAAAATAAACAAATAAATTATACACACCCACACACCCACACCCACGCACACCCACACAAGTAATACTGAGCATTCAAAAATACCAATTTATCTTATTTTAATTTTACTCAGATATCGATCCATTCTCCAGCTGGTGCAGCCCTGGTATGATGAAGTGAAAGACTATGCCTTTCCATATCCTCAGGACTGCAATCCAAGGTGCCCAATGAGATGCTACGGGCCCATGTGCACACATTATACTCAGGTGATATAGGTTCAGTTTTCTTGTATCATTCTTCAGTTCAAAGCTTATGTCTATATGATAAGTATATGTTGCTTTTCAGGCTGGACTTTTAACAAATAAATCCTACTATTTCTTTAGATGGTTTGGGCCACTTCCAACAGAATAGGCTGTGCAATCCACACATGCCACAATATGAATGTCTGGGGAGCAGTTTGGAGCCGAGCTATTTTTTTGGTATGCAACTATGCCCCAAAGTAAGTTTTTCTGTTTTCATTTAATCTATTGTTTCATATTGTCTCAGCACACAAGCCATCATTGTTACTCATTTTCTAATTCATCCATGTTATATCTATAAAGTTATAGGTTGGATTTGTTGGTATTCTATAAAAGTAAATCAGGGGAGTTATAATTCAATCTAGCAAAGAAATATAAGATTTCCCTGTTGTTAAACCTTATATCACGTTTTTAAATGACTGTAGCAAAAGGGGTAAAGAATTGTCATCAGGAAAAATACTTAACATTTTTAAAAAATTGGTAGCAAAAAGCATTGAATTTTAAGAACATGTGATTTGGTTATAAACAATCTACAATCCCTGAATTTTATTTCTTAAATCAGCTAAACAAAGGAGGGATCTCAGTCCATTTATGTTGTAACTTGTCTTCTCATGAGATTTTTCTAGTTCTACCCATAAATATCTAGTCCTATGTCCATAGGAATTGGGGCTAAAAATGTAAATGAATTCAAATATCTTGGATAAAGGTAGACAGACTCTGCTATGCAGATTACATATGAAAAATATATATTTTATGTCATTTTATAAAGATGTTATGAAATGATACTAAGGACATTGTTTTTTCCCTCCTTAGGGGAAATTGGATAGGAGAAGCACCATATAAAGTTGGCGTGCCATGTTCTGCTTGCCCGCCCATTTATGGAGGATCATGCACTAACAATCTTTGCTTTCCTGGAGTGACATCAAACTACTTATATTGGTTTAAATAAACGGTACAATTGTTCTAATGAAATGCATTCAGTATGTAACAAAATCTTGTATATTTAAGTTTGCATATATTGTATATATAATGTATTGATTCATTAATATTATTATGGACTTTATGTAATAATATGAAGATTAGTTTTTTAAGGATATAATGTATGTTTAAATATTTCCCCTTAAGTGACAAAGTTACTATTTTGGACCACTGATAGCTACAGATTAATAATGTGCCTTAAACAACAAAGGCAAGGAAAATTGGAATAGGAATTAAACTGATTAACTTTAGACCCTTGAAGGCCTTAAAGGAATGTATCTTCAAATATTTCATATTTATAGGTCTGGATACAAGATGAACTCTAGATTATTATATCTAATCCTTTGAGTTTTACTTGTGTGCATATGTATGTGTTTTACAAAAATCAGGAAACAAAATATATCCTGGCTACAAATTGAAAGGTTTATATAACTCAAATTGCTAGAGTTGTGATACAAAGAAATATGGGATATTTCTTTGTATCACTGCTTAGAATGAGCAAAATTATGATATTTTTGAAAAATATGCCCAGCCAACTGTAATTTTATAAAAGAACACAAATTTCTCCAGAAAATTTAACAGAAGAAAAAAAAAACCCTGAAATTATAATGGTATATATTTGTACAGCTTTATCCTCACAGCTAGTGAGCAAAAAAAGTCCAAACTTATTCCTTTGCTTGAAAATATGTGTGCAAGTGTGGCAAAATTCTGTGGACTAACTTTAGTTTTGTATTTAGAAATATATTTAGTTATGTTGCTATAGTTGAACAAAGTCCTAAGTCAAAGCCATGTGATCATCATCTGTGGGTCACAAACAGTCTTCTTCCTGTTTGTGATACTTGAGGCGACTATTGTTTCTGGGTTTTGCATTGTGAACTACTTGACTCTTATCAATGATATTCTTTGTAGATAGAGTGGAGCAGATAGGTGCTGCCATGCTAATGTGGATCCCAGGTTCATTAGAGGATGTACAATAATATCAGACAGTGAATTGTTTAGTTTTGATGAAGTTAGGTTTATTATTAGCTGAATATTCAACACGGGCCGGACTGTAACAGTAATGCACTCTTCTATCCACATATAAGCTAACATTAATTTAGAGTCAAACCCGTTGACCTCTCATCACAGTCAAAGTAGCAAGGGACTCATCCTGCCATAGGGAAAAAATACTTGGGTCCTGTATGATTTTAGTTTGTGGAATAGGTTATAACCCTTTCTAGGTACTAGAAGGAGTGGTGAGCAAAAAAATTGCTATATATTTAATTTTTTTTAAAAAAGGAGTGACATTTAAAGTGCAATCACTTTCAGAAGTAGTATAGTATGCTTTCTGAACAGTAATTGTAATTCAATACAGTAATTCTGTATTGCAACTGAAATTATTACAAAGAATATACATGCATTTATATTTTAGTGATAATTATTCTTCTACATTGATATAAATTTATGCAATATTATCTTTTAATATAACTCAGACCACAAAACTTTACTAGAAAACTGGTGCATATGACTTTTTATAATATACAACATGGTGCTACTCTAGGGCAAAATCCTGGCTCTGTTGAAAACGATGTCCATTTTTTTCATTTTTCAGAGAAACTGGTTTATCTACCTATGCATTCTATACACACTGTTAATTGAAACAAATACAACATAAGCTATTTCATACGAGCAGCTTTTTAAAACAGGCAGCAGGAACTTTCTTCATAGACCTAAAGGACTTTCATTGTTCAGAAACTGACTTTTCTATCTTAATTCTATAATGAAGTTATTAAATTATCTATATGGTTAACCCAAAATCACATAATATTTATCAGCTATGTTGGTTTCTGCCAAAGATGGTTAAACCGCATTTCCTAGAAGTTTAGGATTTCTCAGTGAAAAAATTAGTAATGACAGAGAAGCATTTAAGGAAGGAATCTGATTACTGTCAACTATTACTGGTCTTCATCTGAGTTGTAAAATATATCTTGGTTATATTCTAAGGTACACAGATCTAGTTTGTAGGAGTGGCAAAACTTAGCATGTCTGGATGATGAGTCATACTTATCACCTTTTGGCAGATGTAAATGTTGCCTGGCAGATGCATCTGGGTTCCTTGGTAAACAAAAATATGTGGAAAATATTCTTTGAGTTTACAAAGTTTGAAAACTGCCAGTTTACATCAAAGGAAGGCTGGAAAATGCTCATTTTCTTACATAGCCAGTAATCTCAATGGGTGCTTAATCAAGTAGCTCAGCCTTAAACTAGATTAAATTGTGCTGATTAAATTACTGTGGCCTTAGACAATCCTATAGTAGATATCTGAACCATCCAGTCACTATTTTTTTCAGCCAATGTACAAAGTCCCAATTTGGAAAGTGTAAATTTGGCCAACATGTGAAGACATTTTAAAAGGAAAATTAAAATTCTCTCAAAAAAGACAAGATATTTGTGACTGGGCCTATGGCCCATTTTCTGATTCCAACAGAATTGCTAGTCTCTCAGTATTTTTTCTTCTTCCTGCACTTGGAAGTGCAGGGTCTAGTTTTGATCCACTGGTTGTGACAGGCATTAACAGAATGACTTGCACCTGAACCTGATGTGCCAGGCTGAGGCAGGGGGATGGTCCAAAGGCAGCCAGTTGGATTTTATGCCTAAGAAAAAAAACTCATGATCTCCTAGTTTATAGCTTGGTGCCTTAACCACTAGACCAAAATGTGTTGGTATATTGTCATACCAATTTAACTCTGAAGCTGGTGCTATATTATATAACTAAGGTGCTACATTACTTTATCAATTATCTTGTACATTTCAGTTACTCAAAAATAAGGCAAGCTGGCTTTAATGAAATTTAAGTGGTTTAACAATAGCAGCAGAGCTGACCTACAACAGTGAGCTAAGATTATGACATTAATCTTTTGACCAAAGTGCTCATTGATATGGTTATCAATCAATTGTTTAAAGTTAGTGTACATTGCAGAGTGTCATTTCAACATGTTTATACAAAAGTGTAACAGTCTTGGTTGCGATGAGCTTAAATACACATATACAGTGAGAATTTAGAATAATAATTTAAAAAGAATGGATGTGCACTGAATTCAAAGCATAACCAAAAGTCAAAAATAGAAACAAAACTTCATTAAACAAGGTGCCAAGAAATCAATCCTCTATATATCTCACCACAGATATTACTGCACCAAGGAACAAATAGCTTTTCATGTGGCAATCTAAGATATTTCACTCATGAAGTCTGAACTCATGAAGCAATATATCAAAATGTATGAAACTTAAGTTTTAAAAGTAACTTGTGGATCTAATAGATACACATTTGTAAATATGTATATCACAGAAGTCCAGCCATCAGAAAGCTCTGAATGACTTTACTTGCATATATGCACACTGTAGAAAAACAATAGTTTGCTGCTGTATAAGCAGGCTTGATTAGCACACTAATGCAACTTAAGTGATAACACATTAGGCAATTGTTGCTGTTGATAGTAAAAAGATTAGTATCTCTTTTTTCCCTTTCTGATTGGAACACAGTGCTATGCTTCCCTTAATGCAGACATCTCCAAACTTGGCAACTTTAAGACTTATGGACTTCAACTCCACAAGTCTTAAAGTTGCCAAGTTTGTGGACTCCTGCTTTAATGGGATGAGTTTTCAGCTGAAGAAGAGGTGGGCTAATCCTTTCTCTAAACCAGTGTTTCTCAATCTTGCAGGGTGAAGATTTCTGGGTTTCAACTTTCAGAATTCCCAATCAGCATGGCTGTCTAGGGAAATCTGAAAGTTGAAATTCACATAGCTTAAAGTGGCCAACGTTGAGAAACACTGGTCTAAACTTTCCCTGCTGTTCTATCGTATTAAAGAAGATTTAGAGAGCAGGCCAGGTAGTACAGGAAGGAAAAGAGAGGAAAAAATCCTATTAAGCTAGTGGAAATTTACTAGTGATATATTATACACCACTCTTTATATTATTAGAAAAGTAACTGTAAATTATCCTCGAATAGCTACAAGGAAGACAGAAGATGCATTTTCTTCCATTTTTAGCTAGCTACAGTTTATCGCTTTGAACTGAAAACTAAAATTAGTCTGATTTACTTGAGCAACCTGAAATTGCCTTTATTTCACAAATCATAGTTAAAACTAATATTTATACATTATGTTTAATTAAAATGGAGTAAATGTCTATGCCTTTTATTTTTGTCCATGTATGAGACGAATGAAAAGTCATCTTACGCACAACAATGAGATAGGTAATTTGAAGAATGCACAAGACCTAGGCTCATTTGCCCATTGCTAAATCATAGCTTAGTGTTATATTTGAAAACAGCTAATATCTAAAAGATTGTGAGATCAACTTTCCAACTTGTAATATGATATTGTTATTATCTGGAATCAGCAATTAATGTATTTATAAAATAAAACAATCAATTTTTCTTCTATGTTTGGCTTATTTTTGTGGTTTGTTTGCCTGAAATTATAGTTCATTGTCTGACTAGGTGTCATAACAGGTAAATTTACTTTTTCATATCATTATAGCTATATTACAGACTGCAATAAATATTACACTATTCCTGTAGTAACACAAACATAATTTTGCTTGAGAACATTTAAATAACATTTAAATAAAAAAAAACCCAAAGTAAGAATTCTTTTTTTCTTCTCTCTTTATCAGAACTTGGAATTTGTTTTGATATTTTGATATTTCTAAATACAGAAATTAGTATGTGTGCATGATACTGAGTTCTTTAAAAAAAAAACTTTAGCAGCATTTCCCATTACACATTCCCAAGAAAGAACCATCTGATATTGCCTTCGGTATCTTTTGGGAGTCTGGCAAAGACTTATTTTCCTTAGCCCTTTGATCATTATGGTTCCTATGTTACTATTCAAAGTAATTCTATAAATGTAACATTTTTAGATTTTCTTTTTAAGGTTTTGGTATTATTTTTCAATGCTATTTTAAATTATTTTAATTGACTATTTTGC